TTCACATCATTTCAATTCAATTCAAATCAATTCATTCCATTTCAATTCAGATTTTCAATTGAATTCGTTCATTTTCATTTCATTCTGCCCCTCACCTCATTTGCATCCAAGCATTCCAGCAGATAGAACACGGGCTTGTTTCTGATTTTTAACATTGAGACAAATCGCTTCTGTACTGTCTTGGTAATCAGTTAATGAGGCGAACATTGTTTTATTAAAATGATATTAAACTGAGGATTGATAAGAGGCAATCGCATATTGCTGCACAGTTCTCATTTGATTACACGATGATAATATACATCGCTGATGAAAGCATTTTTATATCTGAATTATGTAATCATAAATCATGATGACAATAGAAGTAATTGTATGATAGTACGAACAGATAAATATTAGTTCAAATGACCAATTAGTTGACTATACAAAGATTGACTGCGACAATTTATAGTCGTTGTGAATGTGTTTCATGGTATAACTCAAATTTTGCACGCAACAGCCAAACGTTGAGTGCCTTCCATTGAGATATTTCAGTCAACCTTGCGATCAAACATAACAATGTCTCTAGAAAGCACATAATTTTGTTACATCGAGCATTAATTAATTTACTGTTGTTTGTATGATTCCAATCAACTTCTCAGAATCGTTGCAAATAAAGCAAATGACTGACAATTAGATTTGTAATTTTAAAAAAAATCTGCTCAGACTCAACAGTTTGAAGAGGAAATTGCAAAGAATTTCAAGCAGTCCTTGAAATTTTCAATAACTCTGAGTTTTACTTATAAAACTGTAAAGACAAATAAAGTTGGAATCATTTTGATGCAATTTCGAATGAGGCTGTTTCAGACTGTGAACAATGTGTACCGTATGCAATGTCACGTTAATCCAGATGGTTCATGGACTACGGAGATCATCGGATGTCAAACGCCGGCAGGAACGTTTGTACCGGCAGGAGGGAGCGCCACTGAGGATGGCATAGTATGTAGTATATACGCTTAAACAAATTCAGCGTATTCAAAATATTCTTCACTCGTGCCCAATCCTTTCTGCATAATGTTGAAGTTTGCGTAGCCAGTTACAATTATGCAAACGTAGGTAAATTAGATAACTGCTTACAATTAGGATTAGAAGTAGGACTGTAAAAAGACCAAAGGAAATAAAAAGCCACCCGGGAGATCTCCAATAAGATGTAAGAACAAGGAAATTACAAAGAAACTGGGTAACACCTGGCAAAGCAAGGCCAGATCAAGGACCGAATGGAAACGCATTCTGGCCAGCAACGTTACAAACGTTTGATAGCCTGGCTAATCCAGGTAATCCGAAAGTAGGACTATAGGCCGAGCATATATTCACCTATGGGTTGTTTTATGAATAAGCGGCAATTGCATAGGTCGAGTGTGAGTGGGCCATAATATAGATTGTTCTTCGGTGAACAAATTGAATTCGATGACCATCATCATAGTTTTGACTTGGGAACAACTTGAACTAACATTGAAGTGTATAAGCTATTATAGGTGTACAATTGTGTGAGATCACCAACTGGTGATGTGCGTATGAATCGACAGGAACAAGCTGATTGCGGTGGTCATGCAGTTGGTAAGAAAGAACCGTCATTTCTCTCCATATTCATATCTTGATAATACCCGAGACATCAAGAAAACAATTTACAAAAGCAAATGTTTCATCTCCTCTCCAGCACGATTTCCACATTACTACTGTCTCATTGGGATAGTTTTAGAATGCTTGATTTGTTCTTTTGAATGATCCCTCGAATTTGTGCGTTGGAGTAATTTGATGATTTCAGAGCAATTTATAGAAAAAAAACGCAAGTGTATATTTGTAGGTGAATCGTGGATCGAAAATAAAAATTTCAATAAAATCTGTGATGCTGATGGTGAGCGTGTTCTGAATTGTGTAACTGATTCGGGCAAACCAGTTGCCATCGGCGCCGAACTTACCGAAGGATCAATAATCTTTAAGTGAGTAGTAGTAGCATTCTGCCGACGAGAACGGTAGTCAGCTTCCACATCAGAATTCAACACCACCTAATCACTTCATGATGGGTCCCGCCGTGAACCTTACATAAATCAGACTGCTGCTTGGAAGTATATTCTGACCGCAATGTATAATTAGAATTCATATGAAGCGACGATGCATACGCTTCTTTGAAAGTAGCTGATGTCAATAGGTTCCATCTGAATTTGGTAGTATGATTTCTGGTGTATTCGATGGCTCTCATGGATCGGTGAGAAGCTAAGAATGATATGAAACGTAATTTGGATTTGGAGCTAACAGGGCGGTGGCTTTTGAGCGAGGAACATATCTTATTAAGACATTGACTAATATCAACAGCAATAAGTTGCTTACTTTTTGTCCACAGTTTTGGTACTTTGAAACCATACAGGTGAACTCAAACAGAATTACAATGTGAACCAAGACAAATGGAATAGGTCGCAGTTTTTCGACGGCAGCATCAGCAATTCAAAGTCGAATGCAAATAATGAATGTGCTCAGTTATCAATGTATAGATGAGAGCATCAAAAAATGTGGTACAAAAGAAAAAATATTTTTTTGATCTAAATGAATAGATTTTGAAGGGAGCTCCCGATCATATGAATCAAATTACTTTTGCTCTCAAAACTGATTTATTCTCAGAATATGTGATTAAGGTTTGATTTTAATTTGACGTCAGCGCTCAATTCTTTGAAATGTGCACGTGATTCATTTCAAAACGCTTTCTTTTCGTCCATTTCTCGTTTAATTAAGATGTGTGGATCAAGGCGAAGGTATGGTCAATCTGTTGCGAGTTAAATCGGGTGGTTGCGATGCGAACGGTGAGCAGAAGAAGGCTGGCGACACGTGAGTGACAATCGAAACAATCACCTACCTCACTTGATCACTGCGGAATTATGCTATTTCAGTAAATAACGATTGATAGGAATCTGTCGATTATACATCCGTTCGGCGTTCACATGTTTCACATGACAATAAAATACCTGACAATGAAACAGTTTTACCGAATGAACCGAAGATTCAATCTCAATGATGAGTAATTGCCAGATTCGACTGATTCCTAAAATTGATTCTAACTTCTCCACCGATGCCAGCTCAATCAGTTTTATTGCAGGTGGGTAGAAGACGGCTTTGTGTATAGATGCCTTGCAAGTGGTGGCGTTATAATCGAGAAATGCGTCTTCAGTGACGGGTCTACAATTGACGTAAACTCAAAATCTGTTCACAAGGGCAAAGTATGTTCGAATGATGTTCGAATCGAATTAATGCATTTCAATTTCAGAATGCATCTGAAAAGAAATGAATGAATCATTGAAATTGCAGACATACAACTGCGAATTGAAACCAGACGGTTCAGTCGAATTGCATCCGGAGTGATCGGTCATAAACCGCTCAGAAAACATCATTCCAAAATCAAGCCTAACCAATACGAATTGGAATGCTGCATTTCGTTAATACAATAAATGATGCAATTATGAAACAATAAACCATTCTATCTGATCACTATTCAAAAATGGTTAAATGCCATCCGTAGATTGCTTACATTGCTTCAGTATTATTCAGCTGATCCGTCGTTGATCCGCTTTACCGTATGGACAACAAAACTTCAGTATTATTCAGCCGATCCGCTTCACTGTATGGACAACAATTTCCACGTTTCGCACATTATAAGCTGAATTTTGCTAACATTTCAAATACTTTCCACTCATCTCTCGCGACGTCTCAGTTCTAGAAACCTCAGAATCTGCACACATCTCAATTTAATCTCTTCTGCTATGGGTTCAATGAGGCAACAAAAATCGCTCTAAGACTACACGTTGCATTATCGGTTTGTG